TGAGGCTACTGGACGGCCGCTCAACCCTCCCGGCACTCTCAGGCCTCGCTACAGGCCGGCTTAGCCAGGCTGGCAGGCAGAGGGTGTTGGCGAGGTGGATTGGAGGCGCGTGATCGCTGCTGGAGGCCCCGGGGTTAAGGGTGAAGGGAGATTGTATGTACTAAATGTTTGCCTTGAATGGCGACGACTCCGTCCCGCTCGCCAAACGGGCTCACAGTGGCGACTAAATAAGTAATTAGCCAAAGGCATCAAAACTGGAAGACAAAATCGCATGAATTTAACCCACACACTCTACCTATACTCATCTCCCCCCCCACACACACACTCTCCACCTACACTTCCCTCCACACACACACACACACTCCACCTACACTTTCCACGCTACACTTCTGGTTCCCACACTTTTATAAAATGCGGCGCACTTTCCCACGGTACACCTGGCGTGCAGGCGGCCCAGTGCCGTGTACGCACGCACACATCCACGCACACACACACACTCAGACTGCACGCGGACGCATTAGCCAACACCGTCCTGGGAAGGGGAGGTTGGTGGGGGACGGATATGCTTAATGCTGGAACCTTTATGTCTCGCGATAAATCAAAGAATTAATGAAGGCTTCGACTGTCCTGGGAATGTTTGCATGCATCTTGTGTTTTAAATGTTTTACTAATGTTCTTGTGTGATATATATACATTTCGCAGTTTGTATGACTGGGGAGTGGATCAGATAATTCCTCTATGCCCAAGTGGCACCCGAAGACAAGCCTAAAGTCTCAGTTGGATACCAGTTGCGTGAATTTGAGATGGACTGTTTCTGTGGGTGTTCAGTAGCTCTGTGGTTACACTTATGGGCTACTGCTTAAGTGGTCTGTGATTCGAAATTCTGAGGCCCCAAGTGGCTGTTGATTGCTGGAAATCAACAGCCACTTAATGCACAACTATATTCTACCCACTTCAAGACTCCGAACCAATATAGAAGCATCAAGAGGAACCATCATGGGCCAATAGGCCTTCTGCAGTTACTGATGATGAAGATTAAGCCACCCAAGAGGTGGCACGGGCATGAATAGCCCGTAAGTGGTGGCCCTTTTGAGCCATTACCAGTATCAAGAGCTGATACTGGAGATCTTGGAGGCGCGACTGCACCCTGCGTGACGGGAGATGTCTCCCGTGATGGGCCTGTACTGGGTGTATTATATTTATACCATTAGAGGGTCATCTTGAGGTTATCTTGAGATGATTTCTGGGCTTTTTTTTTTTTTTAGTGTCCCAGCGGCCCGGTCCTCGACCAGGCCTCCACCCCCAGGAAGCAGCCCGTGACAGCTGACTAACACCCAGGTACCTATTTTACTGCTAGGTAACAGGGACATAGAGTGAAAGAAACTCTGCCCATTGTTTCTCGCCAGCGCCTGGGATCGAACCCAGGACCACAGGATCACAAGTCCAGCGTGCTGTCCGCTCGGCCGACCGGCTCCCCGAGCAGACAGCACGCTGGACTTGTGATCCTGTGGTCCTGGGTTCGATCCCCGGCGCTGGCGAGAACAATGGGCAGAGTTTCTTTCACCCTATGTCCCTGTTACCTAGCAGTAAAATAGGTACCTGGGTGTTAGTCAGCTGTCACGGGCTGCTTCCTGGGGGTGGAGGCCTGGTCGAGGACCGGGCCGCTGGGACACTAAAAAAAAAAAAAGCCCCGAAATCATCTCAAGATAACCTCAAGATGACCCTCTAATGGTATAAATATAATACAGATAACCGGGTCAGATACATAATACACACTGTTTTAACCTCCCCCATCACACTATATTCACATCTCCATCTTACTATTTTCCCCTCCCCATAACATTATATTCACCTCTCCCATCACACTATATTTACCTCACCATCACACTGTATCCACCTCGCCATCACACTATATCCACCTCCCCCACCACACTATATCCACCTCCCCCATCACACTACATTCACCTCCACATTTCCACACTATATTCGCCTCATTATCACATATTCACCCCCACATAATCACACGCAGCAAGTATATTAACTATATAATATACTCGCTCCAAACTCTCATTAGCTCCTGTGGAGATAATGAGATGGGTTTGTTAATCCTACGGAACCTCTGTTAGTTATCACATTCCTAATTACAATTCCCAAGTGTACAATTAATTACAGTCACTACTTCTTCCCAAACTCCTGGAGGATGGTCAGGTGAGGTGGGGACTGGTAGTCGACGGCGAATCATCATCCTTACGGCTATTCATGCCCGTGCCACCTCTTGGGTGGCTTAATCTTTATCAATCAATCTATCATCAGTCTAATTTGAGGAGACATCTCCCGTCACGCAGGGTGCAGTCGCACCTCCACAGATCTCGTGGAGCTCACAGAGCTCTTGATACTAATAATGGCTCAAAAGGGCCACCACTTACGGGCTATTCATGCCCGTGCCACCATTTGGGTGGCTTAATCTTCATCAATCATCATCAGTCTAATTTCAGTAGTTCGGTACAGAGGCTTGAGAGATATCGCACATCTTCAACATTCGACGTCTTTTTTTCTTATCATCACAAGACGCTTCAGCCTCGACACAGAGTAGACAGACAGACTCGGGGTCGCGTAGCGCTTCCACCACGCTCTCGTCCCGCACTCGAGCTCCCCGACTCCGCCAGCATTCAGAGCGCCACGCTGCTGTTTGTTGGTTTAGATTCAGCTACTTGGAACAAAATGTTCCAAGCAGCACGGGCTATGGTGACCCCCATCGTACTTACCTGGCACGGGTGATGTGCTGAATGGAGCGCCACGTTCTACACTCTCACCCCACATGCGAGCTCTCCACCCCCGGGCTCACTCAGCTCTCTGCCCTGCTTCAGGCTTCGTCTCAACTATTAAAACATTTCTCTACATTGCCAAACAATCCGACTGCTGTGACCAAGACTATACTAAATTAATATGAGAAACCTTTGAACTCCTTGTATCTAATCAACCAAATACGTCGTATTTGGCTATTTCAGCCAAATAACCAGCCAAGTAAACATTACGTTACATTGGTGGCCCCAGAGTGACCCTAGAGTGACCCCAGAGTGACCCGGACACCCAGCCTTCTGAGTTACATGTACGTATTTGGTTGATTACACTCAAAGAGTTTAGTTTTTCATATTTATTTAGTAGTCCTGGTTACAGCAGTCGGTTTATTTGGCAGAAGTAGTCAGGGAGCTCGAGTGTGAGACGAGAACCAGGAAGTTCGATGCTGCCGGAGTCTGGCTGTCTGCTGTGTCAAGGCTGATGAAGCATCTTGTGTGGGTAGGAACTGCACACGTCAAGTTGTCACTGGTGAATGTTGGATATCGATAGTGTTGAAGATATGCGGTATCTATGTATACCTCACATCTAGTAATCAAGTAATCCCAGACACACCTTAATGCCATGGTCCCACGATATGTTGAAGGTTTTATACAATCTAGGATCCTGAGGTAACCCATGACGCTCGTTCGAGCCACGTCCACTTCCAAATACCGCGGCCGACAGTACACAACGTGGTACTGGAAGTTTTAGTGTCTGGGGTCGAAAGCATCAATCGCATTGATGTCTTGCAAGGTGCTCATGGCGCGCGCGGAGGTCGGAGGCAGATCTTTACTCATGTGATGATTCCTAAAAATGTCCTGTGTTAAATATTCCCGGAAATCCTTTTAATATTGTTCTATAATAATGAATTTATTAATACATATAATTAGCTGAATTATTTGTGGATATATTATATTGTTCCTTGTTCCGCTAAGGAGGCCATTCCTGCTTTCGGAAAGTGATTCCTTGTTAGGATTTCTGCCTGATTATTCATCCTGCAATCCTCGTCCGTTGGCTGGGTCGTTGGGCTGGCTTATTATGTAATAAACTGCGTGCTATTAAAATTGAACTTTCCCCTTGGCCTTCCTTCTACTACCATAACAGACGATGGCAAACGGCTCTGGCTAGGTTACATATCTTATTGGTCATGCACGCTTAACTCACTTAACGGAACATCGAACTGGTCTTTTGTGTTCAAACTGCATTGTCCCACTTAACCGTGCACCTCCTTGTAGAATGTCCAGATTTTGGGGATGATCGTACATCTTGTTTTCCTAATGTCCCTTGGTGAATCTGATACCTTTGATATCGCTCACCTTACATTGCTTTGGTCTCGTATTGATATCCCGAGCGATATTGTGCGCTTTTTGGATATCCAGCGATGGATATCCAGGCATAGTCTTCCCAGCTTGGCACCTTTGATAATTACTTACTTCTTTACGGGCTATTCATGACCGTGCCACCTCTTGGGTGGCTTAATCTTCATCAATCCAGTACTTACTTCTGTTGGCCGGTAGAACGAAGGATTCGCATATTGCAAGGTCGGACTTCGATTCCCGAAGCCCCACTTGATTGGACCGAATCCCAGCTCATTGTTCTCATGCAGGCGATGAGTCACAATAACGTGGCTAAAGTATGTTGACCAGACCACACACTAGAAGGTGAAGGGACGACGACGTTTCGGTCCGTCTTGAACCATTCTCAAGTCGATCGACTTGAGAATGGTCCAGGACGGACCGAAACGTCGTCGTCCCTTCACCTTCTAGTGTGTAGTGGTCAACATCATTGTTCTCATATCCCTTAATTCCAGATGTTGTTACCAGGCTTCACTATGGTCATTCTGGCTTGGTGTTTTCTCATAATTACTTTAGCTCTTACTTCAAGCAAAGTAATCTAACATTAAATATTTAAAAGGTAGCACTTAAAATACTTTAATCAAAACCAAATCTACAAGTTAAAAATTTTTAATTATACATAAATTGTTATTACATCTAAAAGAATATCAACATTTTATTTCATGTGTAGGAAGCTAATACGTAAATAAAGATGAATTTATTCCGTTTTACATTCATATTACTGTACATCTGTTGAACATGTAAGTTACTAATGTATAAATATAATACATATACATGATTACAAGATAATTAACAAAATAATGTGTATTAACCTGAAAAGTTAAATATAATCATTAATATTGTCACAAAGATACTCTCTCTCTCTCTCTCTCTCTCTCTCTCTCTCTCTCTCTCTCTCTCTCTCTCTCTCTCTCTCTCTCTCTCTCTCTCTCTCTATGTCTCTCTCTCTCTCTCTCGCAAAGGGAGGGGAACTATCAGGAGAAAGCGCCAAGCCATTACGACTACATAGCACTGGAAAAGGATCAAGATTGGGATTTGAGATGGGACCGGGGGGGGGGTGTATAAGGAATGATGCCCAACCACTTAGACGGCCGGGGATTGAACGCCGACCTGCATGAAGCGAGACCGTCGCTCTACCGTCCAGCTCAAGCGGTTGGGCACATACAAAAGCCCCGAGAAAAAGACAAGAAAGAAAAGGACAGTCAATAGCAGAACACATTTAAATTAACAAATCCACCAGGGCCGTGACGAGGATTCGAACCTACGTCCGAGAGCATCCCAGACGCTGCTGCCTTTAATCGACTGAGCTACAAATTTCAGAACACATTTCATTAAATAAATTAGACCATTTAATTTCATTAAGAACCATCTTGAGCTGTTAACGTTTCTCAAAAACCAAATAACGCTCTTTTGACTAGAATTACAAGTAAATATTTGGCTTTAAATGCATAATTACCATTAAATTATTAATTTATATCACGCTAAAAAAAATTGACAGTTTAAGAAAATTATCATATTTACTTTACATGAGCAAAATTGCAGGATAATTCCGCAAAATTCTTTAATGTACAATACGCAAAATATAGAAAGATATTTAAGAACAATTTAGTACTACTGGTGAACGTTTGATTTAGAAATATATTAGCGAACATATTTGATTTAGAAATATATTAGCGAACATATTTGATTTAGAAATATATTAGCGAACATATTTGATTTAGAAATATATTAGCGAACATATTTGATTTAGAAATATATTAGCGAACATATTTGATTTAGAAATATATTAGCGAACATATTTGATTTAGAAATATATTAGCGAACATATTTTCAAATTTATTCCGTAACGAACGAGTTCTTTTTTTCAGATATTCAACAACAAAATGATCAAATGAATATAATGCCTAAAAAAAATTTCCTGTGGAGAGATAATTAGTAACAATATGAAGAAAATATATTGTAACAAGTTATACGAAGTTCAGAGTATATTTATCATATGCGATATTCAGAGTATATTTGTTATATGCGATATTCACAGTATATTTGTCATTAAATCGGCATATATAGGCTTAGATATGTACATTTTTAGACAAAAAAAAAGGAGAGAGAGACTCACCTGAAGTTGCACTGCTGTTGACGGCTTGTGAGTTGTTGGTTGTTGAGGCTGTTGTGGTTGGCTGGGTGTCGTTGGTTGTGGCGTTAGATGCGGACGTCGTTGTAGCAGTCTGTGGTGGGGCTGTTGTTGATCCTGTTGCTGTTCCTCCATTGGTTGTTGCTGTTTGCTGTCCTGTTGTTGCTCCTGCTGCCGTTGTTGCTCCTGCTGTTGTTGTTTCTGCCGTTGTTCCTGCTACCGTTGTTCCTGCTGTTGTTCCTGCTGCCGTTGTTCCTGCTGCCGTTGTTCCTACTGCCGTTGTTGTTTCTGTTCCCGTTGTTGTTCTTGCTGCTACCGTTGTCGTTGCTGGTGCCGTTGTTGTTCTTGCTGCGACCGTTGTCGTTGCTGGTGCCGTTGTTATTCCTCTTGTTGTTGTTGCCGCCACCGTTGTTGTCGTACCAGAACACTGGTATGGGGGCGGAGTCGGGGCTGGTACCCCACCAGCTGTTTGGGACGTCAATAAAGCATTATTTTTAAGAGTGCATAACCCCTTATACATCTCCCATTTGTCCAGCCCAAAATAGAAACAAAAATACCCCTTCTCGCACTTATACACCCGCCTCCCTCATCTCTCAAACGCAACCCACTCCGCTAACAAACCCCTCCCTCCCTTCTTCCCTGTCTATCGCACTCTTCCGTCTGGGAAAAAAAAAAACACTACCTGTTCTAGCGCTCCTGTCTAAATTGTCACATATATTACTCACCTGGTACAGAGTAGAAGTTGGAGCTGCCGGGACCGCCACATATGACGCAGGTGTTCCCGGCACATGTGTAGTTACACACTCCGGATGTCATCTTCTTCAGGCTGAATTTGTTGCTGCATGCGCAGCTTTTCCTGTGGGCGACCGTGGGAGGGGGAAGGTGGTTATGGGGGGGGGATACTGGTTCATGTCTGGTTCGCAGGCCCTTGTATATACGTTACTTGGGGGGGTACAGGCCATATGTATTCGACCCGTTCTCGCACTTTCTTACAGTCAATATTGACTTATTAAATAAGTGAATATGTGACATACTAATTTATTGTGAATATTTTAGTTTACCTTGAAAAGCTTCATAGAAAACACCGACCTTACCTAACCTTCTTAGTATGTTAAAATAAGCATCTTATTGCTTCGTAATTACAATTATTACTTAACCTATTATAGGTATAGGTTAAGTAATAATTGTTAAAAAAAACTATTAAAAACCTATTATAGGTATAGGTTAAGTAATAATTGTAATTACGGAGCAATAAGATGCTTATCTTAACATATTAAGAAGGTTAGGTAAGGTCGGTGTTTTCTATGAAGCTTTTCAAGGTAAACTAAAATATTCACAATAAATTAGTATGTCACATATGCACGTATTTAATTAATAAGTCAATATTGACTATACGAAAGTGCGAGAACGGAGGGAGAATGTATTCCGTTCCTTGGGGTACAAGCCATGTATTCCAGAATATTATATTGTTATATAATTCATATAACAGCCCCGATAATTTAATGATATTCCATTTCAGGGGGCTGTTATGACCCCTGTGTATACCAATTGCCTGGTTATACACTAAGCTGTTAACTTAGGTACATGTTATATTCATTGTTGCCTTCAAGTATCGACTGTTCATTAAATCCGTATAAATTCCGGAATAAATGATCCTTAATTACTCTTCAATTATCTCTAATTGTGTTTGTTAATTACGAGTATCTTATATATTGAGAGTTCCCGGAGTTTGTTTGTGGGCAACAACTTGTCCTCCTACAAAGAACAACCTGTTCTCCTACAAAGAACAACCTGTCCTCCTACAAAGAACAACCTGTCTTCCTACAAAGAACAACCTGTTCTCCTACAAAGAACAACCTGTCTTCCTACAAAGAACAACCTGTCCTCTTACAAAGAACAACCTGTCTTCCTACAAAGAACAACCCGTTCTCCTACAAAGAACAACCTGTCTTCCTACAAAGAACAACCCGTTCTCCTACAAAGAACAACCTGTCCTCCTACAAAGAACAACCCGTTCTCCTACAAAGAACAACCTGTCTTCCTACAAAGAACAACCCGTTCTCCTACAAAGAACAACCTGTCCTCCTACAAAGAACAACCCGTTCTCCTACAAAGAACAACCTGTCCTACAAAGAACAACCCGTTCTCCTACAAAGAACAACCCGTTCTCCTACAAAGAACAACCCGTTCTCCTACAAAGAACAACCCGTTCTCCTACAAAGAACAACCCGTTCTCCTACAAAGAACAACCCGTTCTCCTACAAAGAACAACCTGTCCTACAAAGAACAACCCGTTCTCCTACAAAGAACAACCTGTCCTCCTACAAAGAACAACCCGTTCTCCTACAAAGAACAACCCGTTCTCCTACAAAGAACAACCTGTCCTACAAAGAACAACCCGTTCTCCTACAAAGAACAACCTGTCCTCCTACAAAGAACAACCCGTTCTCCTACAAAGAACAACCCGTTCTCCTACAAAGAACAACCCGTTCTCCTACAAAGAACAACCCGTTCTCCTACAAAGAACAACCCGTTCTCCTACAAAGAACAACCCGTTCTCCTACAAAGAACAACCTGTTCTACAAAACTTTTCGGTCGTATGCGTTCCATAAGGGCCAAAAATTGTCGTACTAGAATCTCTCCTGATCTGATGTGTTGGCCGTGACTGTGGTGTTTGCAGTACAAGAGTGAAGCCAACCCATCCTCAGACCAAGTCCATTCCATCCAGCGGTCGACCCCTAAAGACGCATTCATCAATTTTAACATGCTGTTCATTCACAACAGGAGTTTTTTCTCAAATATAATTTGATATTATTATATATTAACATATTTTGTGCATATTTAGGCATTGGTTAAGTTAGGTGTTTAGGTGATTGTTGGCGATTATTTTTATTTGTAGTTAATCACTTACAGCGTTGTGGTTCGAACATAAGTCGTCAGCGAACCACATGTCCCAGAAGGGTTCGGACGTCATCAGTTGTGTGTAAACTGTTTTTCATTCATAAACTGGGGGGTTTGGCGGCTGCATGGAATGGACTTCGGGTCTTTGTTTTCGAGGCCGGGCTGGTAGCCTAGCTCCTCTGGTCTGGTTCGCTTGCCTTAATCTGTGAAGCCTAGCTCAAGTTGTCGAGGCTTATATAACTAATATGTGAAGCACAACACAGCACCGTAGCATGACACTGCACCGTAGCACGATACAGTACCGTAGCACGACGCAGTACCGTAGCACGACACAGCACCGTAGCACAACACAGCACCGTAGCACGACACAGCACTGTAGCACGACACAGCACCGTAGCACGACACAGCACTGTAGCACAACACAGCACCGTAGCACAACACAGCACCGTAACACACAAATCGCTTAATTAAAGTACCATCCCTCCCCTCCTCCATAGCCTTACCCACTATAGCCTCGCCTACATAATCCCACTTGCATAGCCTCCTCACGTAGCCTATTCAAGTAGCCTAACCAATGTAATTCCCGCTCTTTTGTAGTCGAGTAGACTTTTCCTCGAGCCTCCAGACTGGTCCTCACCCCTCCTCTGTAGAGGCGTAGATGTAGTTGCCGCTGTAGCACTTATAAATGCAGTGACTAGGGGAATTGACGGTCATGGTAAAGTAAGCATTCATTTGGGCCACTCCCGTGGTCGTGTATATGCCGAAGCAGGCCCCGTCGGCGGGCACCGTAGGCGTGGCTGTCGTGGTTGCTGCTCTTGCTGTTGTGGAGGTGTGTCGCGCTGTCGTTCCTGTAGGTGTGGGCGCTGCCGTTCCTGCGGGTGAAGGAGGTTGATGGGGTGCGGGGTGAGTCGTGGTGTAGAGGTGGGGGGGATATAGGGGAAATTGAATGGGGATTGTGGCTGATGTTGATGTGGTGGTGTGTTTAGGGAAGTGTGTGTATGGTGTGTGGTGATATGGTGGGGTTGGGGGAGGGTGATGTGGTGATGTTAGTGGCTGAGGGGAGGGAGGGGGGATTGATGTTACAGTGTATTTGGTGGGGGTTGATGAGTCGATGTATGTGTTGGGAGGGGGGGTGTTGATGTGGTGTATGTTAATGTATAACACGAGAACAGTACATACAGCATGAAAGTCGAAAAGCAGAACAGTATAACAATGGAACAGGTCTGGGCATAACGACGACCAGTCTAGCTAAACACAACGACACCTCGCACCTCACACACGCACACTCAGTGGTAAGATCAGGTCAGGTCAGGTCATGTAAGGTCAGGGCAAGTACATTGAAGATAAGAATGCTGCTCTCAGAAATGTTGTGACTTTGCTAATCCACTTGTGATTACTAATCAAGTTCAAGTTCATGTTTATTGAAACAAGAAAGAAATACATCTGGAAGGGATAGAGTAGCTTAGGCTATTTCTACCCCCCCCCCCCAGTTCTAATCTACATCAAGGGATGCTGATATACTTCACACATCCAACACTTGTGTCTACAAGATAAAGTCTAGCCTATGGAGGAGACAGTGAGGGTTGTGGGCGCCTCAGACCTCTGGGGACAAACAACAGTTACCTCAGATCGAGGGGAGCTCACTGCAAGTACAACTCTCTTATCACTGTCACATGCATCGTCAAATCAGTTTGCCTCAATAAGGGAACCATAGTTAGGATAATTCATTTAAAGAACGAAATTAAGTATTGTTTAAACTATCATTCCCTTGTAAGTTAATTGTACCTGTGTGATGTATTAATGGGCTTGCCATCCCTTGACCTATTGACCGAGTGTCCCTAATTGTCAGGTACTCATCAGCTGATGTCATTATTTAAGTGTTCAGAACATGCGGTTCATTTTGTTCCATCTCCCTTCCTCTGTACAGTGACTATTGAGTGTTTTTCGGGTTATTGGAGCTAAGGGCCAGCTAGCACTCTTAACCTTAAGTTACACCTAAGTTCTCTTTCTCTCCCGGTTCCCTGATCCGGATATCTTTGGATGAAACTAAGAAATAATTCATGGTGGTGGCAGCGTTAAATATTTAGAAAGGCAGTTTTTTTATTATTATTATTATCATTTTTCTACCACAGACGTGGCCACACATTTACAAATGCTAACCAGCATATATACATTTTCTTCTGTCCTCCATGGACAGGGTTAGAGATGTGTTAAACATATAGTTCAGGGGTTTATTGAACACTCAACCACAGAAGGTGATTCGGTGCTTTTAAAATGCTAAGCTAACCTACGTGCGTAAATACATAGATACACAGATATACGTATGCCCTACATAAAGTGTTCGATGTGTCTTTTACATAGTGTCATTAATGTGCATTTACAAAGGTGAAATGTAATTCTGATCAGCTTCCATATATACTTTATACGCATACATATACATACACACAGAAAGCAGTAGCAGCTAGCTTAATCTCTCTCCCTTATCACTTAATCCTCTCTCTCTCTCTCTCTCTCTCTCTCTCTCTCTCTCTCTCTCTCTCTCTCTCTCTCTCTCTCTCTCTCTCTCTCTCTCTCTCTCTCTTTCTCTCTCTCTCCTTTCTACCGACTCTTTCCTTTCCTCCGTATCTCCCTTTCCTTTTAAGTTGGCTATATCTCATCTATCATAATGGTGGTACAGTATTTGATTTGACTGATATATATCTGTGTGGTAGTGGTGGTGCAAGGGTCGGGGCGGTTGATAGTTTGATTCATGATAAGTGCATACAGCAATTCCAGCCCATTCTCCTAAAACGATAGTACTTATAGTGACTATTTGGTGAAACGTACCAATATGTAGTGATCGACCACCAAAAAATTGACGTTTTGACCAAATTGAATTTGACGAAATGAGGAAACTTTTTGATTAACCTCAATATACATACAACCAGACCTCCTCTCCTAGTAATCCTAGGGCTAATATAGATTATATATGCTATACTAGACCTAGAAATTGTTTAAGTATGGCTTTTAGCTATAATTGTATCCTGTATAATTAAAATACAAAAGTGAACATTTTTAGTGGTTCACACACACTGGTATTTCCAACCAAATAGCGACTATAATCACTATACCTTCAGCATGGGTTAAATAATCCCTTTGAGTTCATGAATCTCTCTTGTGAGGAGTCAGGAGGAGAGACGTTATTAATAACACGATTTTGAATCGTTTTATGTCCCAGTGTTAAGGGTGTTGCATACAGTTATTGCTCTCGTGTTCTCTTTTATGTGGTGTGTGATGTTATAGCATGACTCTTCCAGGTTGGCAGACAAATTGTGTTCAGGTGACTCTACAGGCAAGTAGAGTACCGTAGTTGTGGTACAGGTTTAGTGAGAGAGCAGTAGCCTAGTTGAATTTTCTTGCCTTTCATTATTTTGCGAGGATTATTTTTATTATTATTATTATTATTATTATTATTATTATTATTATTATTATTATTATTATTAGCATTTTATGTAAATTTGCCATTAATAGCTAGTAATAGTAAATGCATTTATGAATGTTCACAGATTTTAATACCCCATCTTTGTCGATAATGCCAGCTTGGTCCATCAAGTGGATTACTGTAATTTAAAGAGCTTTATGCTGAGATAGTGTGAGTACAATACAGAACGGTTACTTAGTGAGTACAGAATCGTAACTTAGTGAGTAGAGTACTTACCAAGTTACCCGGAAATCAGTATAGGGATTATATAGCCTCTCCTGAGATTCGGCGTGGGTACTCAAGACCCTGGCTAGTTACCTTGAGGTGCTTCCGGGGCTTAGCGTCCCCGCGGCCCGGTCGTCGACCAGACCTCCTGGTCGTAATAATAGAGTTGTAAAAACACAAAACAAAAAGTGGTTTTGTTTTGGTCATAAAAGGAAAGTGGTCAAAACACAGCGGTTTATAGTTCACGCTTGCGAAGGGGAACGACTAGCCGTTCCCCCCATACATGAATGGTGGAACATAACTGCTGTGTAGCGGCCGCCCACCTACACATCTACCCCATCTACACATCTACACACCTACCCATCTACACACCTACCACATCTACACACCTACCTAGTGTTAGGATGAATGCTAGCAGCGCCGCCCAGTGGCTGCCCGCAGTCCGTAGCTGTCCGGCCATGTGTGTTGAGAACGCCTGTAGAAGGGAATGAACGGGAAAGTTTTCATGGTGATAAATGGTTGTTAGAGTTTAACTCGAGCAAATGTAATGTAATTAAGATAGGTGTTGAGAGCAGGAGGCCAGATACAAACTATCATTTGGGAGTTGAAATTCTTCTAGAATCAGTGAGAAAAACCAGGGGGTTGATATCACGCCAGACCTGTCCCCCAAAGCCCACATGAAGAGGATAGCTTCAGTGGCATATGCCTGGTTGGCCAACAATAGGAACGGCCTTTAGAGACTTGTGTAGGGAATCATTTAGAACCTTGTATACCACGTATGTCAGACCAATCCTAGAGTATGCAGCTCCAGCATGGAGTACATATCTCATTAATCATGAAATTAAATTGGAGAAGGCTCAGAGGTTTGCCACAAGAGTAGTGCCGAACTGAGGGGCATGAGCTATGAGGAGAGACGACGGGAATTAAACCTCATGTCACTGGAAGACAGGAGATATGGGGACATGATAACCACATACAAGATTCTCAAAGGAATTGAGAGGGGTAGACAAAGACAGTTTATTTCATACAAGGGGCATAAGCACTATGGGACACAGGTGGAAATTGAGTGCCCAAATGAGACATAAAGATATTAGAATTTTTTTTTTAGTGTCAAAGTAGTTTAACAAATGGAATGCATTAGGAAGTGATCTGGTGGAGGCTGACTCCATACACAGTTTTAAGTGTAGCTATGATAGAGCCCAATATGCTCAGGAACCTGTACACCTGTTGATTGACGGTTGGGAGGCGGGACCAAAGAGTCAAAGCTCAACCCCAGCAAGCACAACTAGGTGAGTATAACTAGATGAGTATACACACAAGATGGTGCAGTGAGGGGTCCAGATGGTACACAGTGAGGGGTCCAGGTGGTACAGTGAGGGGTCCAGATGGCACACAGTGAGGGGTCCAGATGGCACACAGTGAGGGGATCCAGATGGTACAGTGAGGGGTCTAGATGGCACACAGTGAGGGGGTCCAGGTGGTACACAGTGAAAGGTCCAGGTGGCAACTTATCTACTCTATGGAGGACGATGAACTTCAGCCAAAGGTAGCGTCAGTACTAGGGGCGGGAACTTTTAATTTAACTAAAACACCGACATTTTGACTCTGACCAATGGTGTCATCTGTGTGGTGGTGTCGTGTAGTGAGCAGATGTACTCACATCGGCGTCCCAGCGGCGAGTGAGGCGGGAGCTGCCCGCTGCCGAACCTGAGGACGGCCTCCGTGGCGGGGTGGCCTGTGATTGGTTGGTTGGTGGCGTGGTGGCTGGTGGTTGGTTGATTGGTTGGCTGGTGGCGTGTGATTGGTTGATGGTTTGCGGGCGCACGTTTATTCTTGGCCTCCCTCCACTCTTCTTGGTTCTCTTTCACTTTTCTACCCCGTCAAATGCTCCTATATTATTATATTTTCCTCTTTCTCTCTATTTTCCTCTTTCGTTCGCTCCCTCCTGTACCTTATCACCTCTCCACCTTTCCTCCACACTCTTCATCCTCTGTGTATTATCACACTTCCTTACGTTTTTCTTCCTTCCCTTCCCTTCCCTTCCTTCCTCTGTCCACCTCTCCAAGCTTCAACTCTTTCTTTCTAACTGCTTTAACTATCCTTCTTTGCCCCCTCTCCCCTTCCTCCATTCTTTCCTTCTTCTTTCCCTCTCTCCATTCTCCTTACCTACTTCCAATTTCTACTGTTCCACTTTCTCTTTGCCATTCTCTCGCCCGAGAGTCTCGGAAACTCTCTCTCTCCTTTCGCCTTATCTTCCACAGGTGTAGCAAAAATGGAACAGACGTAACAAGGAAAAGGGAGAGTATAGCAGAGACAACAAAAATTATATAAAGAAGAGAGAACGTGAGGAGAAATATATAGTGGAGAGAAATGGAGAATATATAAATTACGGGTTCACCATAGCCGGTGCTACATGGACATTTCGTTCGAGTAGCTAAATCTAAGACAACAACGAGAATATAAATGTGGAAAAGGTGGAAAGGTGGAAGACTATGAAGGATGAGACTTGCGTGTTAGTGACTCGGCGCATTACTGGAGCACATAATTGGCAGTTGATGGAACAGGCGCCAGAAGGTTATGATTGATTGATTGATGAAGATTAAGCAACCCAAGAGGTGGCACGGGCATGAATAACCCTTAGAGGTCATGTCTTACCCTATTTATTGGCTTGTTTAGGCGAGATGTGTGTACTTACCTAGTTGTGCTTGAAGAGGGGTTGAGCTTCGATTTCTTGGTCCCGCCTCTCAATTGTCAATCAACTGGTGTACAGGTTCATGAGCCTATTGGGCTCTATCATATCTACATTTGAAACTGTGTATGGAGTCAGCCTCCACCACATCACTGCCTAAAGCATTCCATTTGTTAACTATACTGATACTGAAAATATTCTTTCTGATATCCATGTGGCTCATTCTGGTCGGGAGCCGGTCGGCCGAGCGGACAGCGCGCTGGACTTGTGATCCTGTGGTCACGGGTTCGATCCCGGGCGCCGGCGAGAAACAATGGGCAGAGTTTCTTTCACTCTATGTCCCTGTTACCTAGCAGTAAAATAGGTACCTGGGTGTTAGTCAGCTGTCACGGGCTGCTTCCTGGGGTTGGAGGCCTGGTCAAAGACCGGGCCGCGGGGACACTAAAGCCCCGAAATCATCTCAAGATAACCTCAAGATGGTCTAGGTTTCCTAGGTTACTGTTCGTGTACCACCCGTGCTAAACAGTTCCTTTATCTACCCTGTCAATTCCTCTGACAATCTTGTGGGTGGTAATCATGTCTCCCCAAACACTCATCCACCACACTCCACAAACACTCATCTGATTGTTTATGGTAAGTCTTGTTCCCTGATTGTTTATGGTAAGTCTTGTTCCCTGATTGTTTATGGTAAGTCTTGTTCCCTGATTGTTTATGGTAAGTCTTGTTCCCTGATTGTTTATGGTAAGTCTTGTTCCCTGATTGTTTATGGTAAGTCTTGTTCCCTGATTGTTTATGGTAAGTCTTGTTCCCTGATTGTTTATGGTAAGTCTTGTTCCCTGATTGTTTATGGTAAGTCTTGTTCCCTGATTGTTTATGGTAAGTCTTGTTCCCTGATTGTTTATGGTAAGTCTTGTTCCCTGATTGTTTATGGTAAGTCTTGCTTACTGATTGTTTACGGTAGTCTTCCTGGTGTGATTCTGTAGTAGTGGAATAGTTTCCTAGTCTAGTGTCTAGAGATCTAGAGGGGGAGACAGGTGGGAAGGGATGGTTGATAGATGAGGGGAGGGGGGGAATTGTAAGGGAGGGCAGGTAGAGGGCGTGAGATGGGATAGAGGACAGGTAGAGGGGGGTCTAAGCTCACTCTGTATGATATGGCAACCTATCTTATTACCATGGATAAATTACCTGAAATCCTTGCACTGTACCCACATTTTGCTTCCAGTAGATGAACGACATATGAGATTCAGAAACAAGTAGTGTATTGTGAGGACTAATAATAAACAGAAGCTCCCCTATGACTCTGTAATATCCCCATTGGCCAAACTATTATGTATTAACGATAAAACCTACCATTAATGTATGATGACTTACTGTAAATATGTAGCTCTTGTAATAGCACTTTCTCTGTAACTAGCTGACATTGTATCTATAAGGTGTGAAGGATTGAAGAAATTGTTTATGTAATAATCTAAGATGAGGTCTGATAAAGACCTTTTGTGCCCTCTGTAATGTTTTGCGCTACCGCTCACAGGATGAGTATGGGGTGCACAATAAACTAGCCGCCTTCGGCGGCAACAAACAAACAAGAGGGGGGAGTGGTGGGAAGGGAGGGCAGGTAGACGACATGAGGAATAATATGGAAAAGAATAGTGGTATTCTAGAGTTGGTGGTGCAGAAGAATAGTAAGAATGAGAGGGTGAGTTATGAGAAAAATTGAAGAATAGTCCACTACGCAAGAGCATTTTATTATTATTATTATTATTATTATTATTATTATTATTATTATTATTATATTATTTATAGTCAGGGAAAGTCGGAAATTCCAATTTGGGCACTTTCTTTTTTAGACTTTTTTTTAAGACTTTCCTTTTTAAGACGGCTCATAGCCCAGTCGATAGAGCGTATAAAGTCTAGGTGAATAGAATGTTTATTTTCAACGGAAGTGTGAATGGTAATTTATCTGACCTCTCTCTCAGTGTGTGTGTGTGTGTGGTGTGTGTGTGTGTGTGTGTGTGTGTGTGTGTGTGTGTGTGTGTTGTTGTGTGTGTGTGTGTGTGTGTGTGTGTGTGTGTGTGTGTGTGTGTGTTGTGTGTGTGTGTGTGTGTGTGTGTGTGTGGTGTGTGTGTGTGTTGTGTGTGTGTGTGTGTTGTGTTGTGTGTGTGTGTGTGGTGTGTGTGTGTGTGTGTGTGTGTGTGTGTGTGTGTGTGTGTGTGTGTGTGTGTGGTGTGTGTGTGTGTGTGTGTGTGTGGGTGTGTGTGTGTGTGTGTGTGTTGTGTGTGTGTGTGTGTGGTGTGTGGGTGTGTGTGTGCGTGTGTGTGTACAGGAAGTCATCACATGGTTGCACTAGGCACTAACATGAGTGCTTTCAAATACTCCATTTCATTTTCCTCAATCCTTCCATTAACTGGGTACTCAGCGCATCGTTTGTGTGTGTGATTTATGATAAAAGCGAATATTGGGGGGAGTGTGTTGGCCACGACGCTGATGTTGGGGGGATGTTTGTTCCCCCCCCCTCCCCCCTCCCTCCCTCCCCTCTCCCCTTCCCCCTTCCATCCCCCAACCCCTCTCTCCCTCCCCTCTCCCCCTCCCATCCCCCAACCCCTCTCCCTCCCCTCTCCCCCTCCCCGTCCACACTCCTCCCCCCTCCCACCACGACGATGTTGTTAAGAAAGGCTCCAAGTGTTCATAAGTAACTTAGTGACTTTTAACTATCTAATGCAATATTTTTTTTATTTATATATACAAGAGTTCTTATATTCTTGTAAAGACACTATAGCACG